CGGACCACAAGAAGAGTCTAAGCAGGAAATCATTTTGAATACAGAAGCTAAAGTGATGCGAATGTCTAGCAACGAATTAACTTTTTTGTTGGCTTTTTATAGGTAGGATGTGTTTAGTGGATTCAAAATTTAAGATTGGTAAAAAGTTTTTAGCAAACAATTCAGCTTTGTCTTTAGGCGCGGTGATAAAATTTGAACCATTCAAGAGAAGTGGAGCCTAATTTTTGAAATGAAATGGGCAATTTTATGACCTGAGAATAGCAGGCTTTGGCGTTAGACAAAACCTTTTTACAATGGTTTTTAGCAATAGTAAACAGACGTCTATTTTCTGGAGAATTGTTTTGCTGATAGATATTTAAGTAAAAGTTACGATTGGAAATTGTAGTAGCACAATAAGAGAAAAACCAAAGGAGAAGATTGAGGCCTGACGTAGAATTGTCAAGAGGTAATAAAGGATTTCATACCAGCCTAAATCCAAGACGTTGCGTAAGAAGTAGATTAGTCAGCAGAAAGACGAAAAATTTCTCTAAAATAGCTCTAGTACAATAGAGATAATAGTTTTAAAGAGATCCAACCGTGATCAGAAGTACATTAATATTTACGAACATAATTTTTTTAACATTTTATGCTTTGTGTATATATGTAAAAATATTCTTTCTCCTGCCGTTTTTAATGGTCTATTTACCTTTTTAATGATCTATTTACCTATCTACCAATAAAAACTCTACAAAAATAAAAACCTTCTATATGAATTTTTTTCTGGAACAAATTTTAACCAATTTGGCATTGATTATTGTGTACCCCATTTTCAAAATAAAATTGTTTTGTCTAACTTTCATTTTGATATTTCTACTTCTTTGGATCTTTTTAATATTAAGCTAAAAAATCTTTTACTCTCCCATAATATCAAAATTTTACAATAATATTTATATCATGAAAATATTAATTAATGGAAATCACAGTTTGAAAATTTTGGGCCCTAATACCAAAAACAACTCTTAAGAAAACCCTTTTGAGGGGTGTTAGTACATATGATAGGGATCTCATAACAACTTTGAAATCAGGGATTACCGTCCGCAAGACTTATTTGACTTTATTAGTTTTATCTTAATGAAACGCTGTGACTTTTACTGAAAAATTTTTCTGACACAAGTTTACACAACTTTTCTAAATATAACAAGTATCAAAAGGTTAAGAAAGTATTACTTGATGGTGTTTGGTGTATTTTAAAACACCAGTGTGATTTTTTTAAATTCTTATCAACAAAATAATGTCAACAAAATTACGGCGATTGTTTTCCGGGAAAGGGCTGCATAAATATTATAGTTTTGAAGAAAAATTTGTAGAATGTGCATCAAAAATGCCCAATTCAGCAAAACCCATGAGGATTGTCGAATATCTGTGTGCATTACCTGCATGAAAAAAGGAGACCAAGTTCTGACAGACTTTTTAAAGCTAAAGATTCAGCGCCTCATCAAGAATGATCTGAGCTTCAATGACTGCAGAGTTCCTCTTGCCTCATGTCAGACATGTCGTTTTAAACTGAAAAAGCTTGAAGATGGGGTTCCTAAGACGTGTAAACCAAGATTGTACAGGTTTGAAGACATCCAAATAAAACCGGCAACTCGAAGTTCAAACACCTGTGATTGTTTGATCTGCCAAATTGGGAGGCTCAAAGGTAAAGAAACTCACCCACTTGAGCAAAAAGACCAGCCTGCAACAACCAGTCAGCCACCTAAAAGTTCAGAAAAACGTTGTACAAAATGTTTGTCTGTTCTCTCACGAGGCCTTTCTCATCATTGCACAATTGGTTCACGCCATGAAAACTTGAAGCAACTGGCATTTTCAGATCCTAAAGGAGCTGAACAAGTTGCATCTTCCATTGAAAAACTTTACATCCCAACTATGAGGAAAAAATCACCATCTTCAAAAACAGTTACATGAGTTTGGGAATCTCTGTTACTCCAAGGATCACACTGTTTTCCACCATGTTCATCAAGCTGAAAAAGAAAAGCCTTGGTCTATACAGTGAACAAGCCACTGAAGCACTGCGTTTGGATTTTGGCAAGCATTAGGAGCGATACAAAAGATTGAACACCCATCCAGACTACTCCAGTCAACTCCTGAAGTGTGTCATTGATTATAACAGCAAGAAAATGTAGAGTAGCTTGCTATGAGGCACTGACCATCAATGAACATGTTGCATTTTTGAAAATTTATTTGTTTATCTTTAGAATGTATTTATTTTGTAATAAATAAATGTTTTAAGATGTATTTTTATCATTTGTTATCTTTTTACTTCATAATATGGTAATTTAGGGCAGCCAAATATTTTTGGAGGAATTTTGCAATTTTTCAGGCTTCGTAATTTAAAAGCAAAAACTTCAATGTTGAATAAGTCTTGCGGACGGTAATCACGGATTTTAAAATTACTTGTTATGAGATCCCTATGAAATATACTAACACCCCTCAAAAGGGTTTTCATAGGAGTTGTTTTTGGTATTACGGTCCAAAATTTTCAAACTGTGAAATATTAATTAATAAAATATTAAACTCTTTTATATATTATTGGAAGTTGTAAAAATTTATTTTAGTTTTTCTATTTTCACGAAGAGGCTTGATGATATATAATAATACATTTTCTACTTGCGCCAGTCAGCTTGCAATTGTATAAATTTATTTGAATGTAAGGTTAACATTGTAAAATGTGTCAAATGACGAATGTATTATTATGTATGTATTTTTTATTTTTATTTTGTTGTACTTATAGTTACTTTATAACCTAATATTTTGTTTACACTAGTATAAGGTTCAGACGATAAGACCTTACTGATCTTCTTTCAGATACCTAGTTTTCAAACGTTAGTAGTATTTTTTTTTGTTATTATTTTTTGGTGCCCCAAGAAGACCTAACGGTTTTGTCACAGCACCGTGGAAGTGCATTTAACCAGGAAGTTCACGCCTCTTTTCTTACTGTGACGCAAAATATGACTAGAGCTCGTTTCGAACCTAGATCTCCTGATTATAAAGCAGGCGCTCTAACCACTGCGCCACGGCTGCACGTTTGCTTATTCAATAAATTGTATTAATTTCTATTTACTCTTATTTTATTGTAAAAACGAACAAACGAATGTAAAAAAGAAGAAACTGAATAGTGATTAGAATCAGAAACAAGAAATGATTGTTTAATGTAAATGATTTGGATTGTCTAGAAAGCGAGTTGGAAAGTTGACTATTTGTGTTAGAGATTAAGAAAGACAAAAGTTGTAAACTTTAACGCCTGCAGAGTCACTGAGAGAGCCAAGACATTCAGCGTGATTAGCATTAAAGTTACCAACAATGACAATATGGGTTGATGGATAAAGAAAAAGGGCTTGGTCAACTTGATCAGTAACAAAAGAGATAAAGAGGTACTTGATGATAAGAGGTAAAGAGGTACTCGATGATAAGAGGTAAAGAGGTACTTGATGAAAGTAAAGAGGTACTCGATGATAAGTCTTTATAGACTTCTACGAGTTTTCCTTTACAACAACATGTAAATATCTGAAATACCAAAAAATTACTTGTCTTTTTTTTTCTTTACTTATTTTTATTCTTTTATTTTTTTTTTTAAATACTGGTATTTTTTATGATAAGAAACACTATTAATTTATGCTATACTTAGTTATACTTGTTAAACCAATTTTTATTATGCTATGTTATACGTGGTATTATTATCTTATATTTTTACGTGAGATTAGATTATGTCATGTAGTTATAACGTAACGATGTGTAAATTTATTAAAGTTGTAAAAAAATTAAAGAAAAAAAAAAAAAAAAAAAAAATCGAAAAGAGGGCAGTATTGCAATGAAGAAGAACGATATAGAGGAAAGAGAAAGGCGATAGAGTGAAGTGATGCTAAATGAAAGCACATAAAAGAATAGTCTGTAATTTTTTTTTTCTTTTTTAATTTTATTTTAGGTGCCGTAAGAAGTTTTTACGGTCTTATCACAGAACACCGCGGATGAGCATTAAATTCGAAATTCACGCCTCCTACTTAACCGATGTCGCAAAACTTGCCTAAAGGTGGAGTTTGAACCACGGATCTTTTATTTCTGAGGCAAGTGCGCTACCACTGCGCCACAGCTGCTCTAAATTTAAATCTAATATCCTGAATTCTTACGAATGTATATACCCACACCAAGCATGTGACTATTAGAGTCTTTACGACTTTAAAGAAGATAACCGTCAGCACTAAGATCACAAGATGAGACAACTGAACTCAAATTAGTCTCACAAAGAGCAAGTAGATCTGGTGAACTTTGCAAAAAATAAGACTCAACAGAAGAGAAGTTACTAGTTAAAAATAAGACCATGAATATTAGTGATTGATAGATTTAGAGAACTTAGTGATGAAATTGGTTTTTGTGTTTTATAGTTTTTGGTACTTTAGTCATTTTTTAATTTGTTAAAGAACTTGACTCGAAGCACAAATAGTACTTAGTACACTATTTAATAGTTTAAGCAATTGTTTCTTTGCTATTTATAAACCCTAAGCCGTAACAAAGGGCTCCAAATTTGGCCTCGACAATCAAAAGTACGAACAAAGACATCATCCATGCGCAACATTGGACTGTCAATACTCTGATAATTTACAGCTCTTAATAAAATCATTCTCTCTGAGAGCTACCACAGAGTTCCATTTTTGCTATTTGTTTTAGTTTAGACACACGTTGTTAGTTTTTTCATTAAATTGGTGAAATATTCATTTAGTAAATAATAAATTTAATTAAGGTCAAAAAGGAATCACTTCCATTTAACAATGGTTTTTCTTTTTCACTAACAAACAACAAAACAAACAATTATAAAATGTAGGCTACCCAAAAAAAAAATGTTATGAAGTCTCCGCCCTTCGAAGCCCCTGGATATAGTTGCTATTTATATAACTATAATGATTTACAATAAAAAATTTATTATATTTTCATTAAACTTTAAAAATACAAATAAAAACAATAAAAAATCTGACAAAATATTTTATCAAAAATTTGTTTAACTACCTAAATTTAACAGCAAACAATAAAACGGATAAAAAGAAATACTCCATTATGGCAAGACCTTACTAAACGACAAAGACGTGAGAAAAGGGGGTGTAACTGTACAAAATCGAATTTTACCGATAACCATTTTTTTTTTTTAAGAAATAAAATTTTATTTTACACCGACAACTTCTAAAATCTGTCAATTTACGGACAAAATATTTTGAATTTTTGGGGGGGGGGGGGGGGATTTAAACACCCTCGTCGGTACGGCCCGCATGATGAAGTATTATTGTAAATCAAACAAACACCGATGCTCAAGTAAAATTCCGTAAACTCGAACCTCAAATGACGTCAGCGGAGTATTTGAGTTGAGCAATAAACAAGCAAAAGATAAAAAAAGTTTCACTTTAACTTTCTTTTTTATTTTCATTCTTCAAATCCTTTTTCAAATTCAAAAGTTAACAGAATTCAACTTCTTCTGGTTTTGACAAACTTTCAGATTTAAAAGAGAGTATTTAAGTTTACAAAATAGATTTCGCAATTCATATAATAAGTTTTAGTTTATTAACTATGAACATACTAAAAAAAAAAAACAGTTGACACCTACAATTTTTACAATTTAATGAAAAAATTCCTACGAAGGGGAAAAAAAAAAAAAAAAGAAATTTACTTATACAAAAAAGCTAAAGCAATTATCCAAAATTTACACAAAAAGTTACACAGAATTCTTTTCAAACCAACAATTCAATAAATCATGCACTTTCTTAACATCCGTTTCAATAATCATGTGTCCACTGCCCTTCAAAATATGAATTTCGGTTTGTTGAGAGTGTTCTTTGAAAAATTTTATACCGACATCTGAAGGAAGCAACTAAAAATAATCCAAATACAGAATTATATTTGAAAAATTTACTTAAGCCTGGGAACAAAGAAGATCTAAAAATTTGGCCAGAATTGCCCGAAACAAGAGAGCAACAAGTTGATAAAATAATAAAATGTATATATTATTTGAAATACATAAAAAATATTATGTATTTCTATTAAATAAATAAAGAAAACACTGTTGTACTAAAGTTTGAAGTTTAAACCTCAAACTTTAGTACAACAGTGTGCAGTATTTAAAACAATAATTAAATAATTACTTCATTAAAATACCGCTTAAAAATATTTTTAGAGATATTTAAATAGTACAACAACAATAAAGTATTTAGCTTAATATAAATATCCTATTCAAAGAATAGGCTATTTATATTCAAAAGTTGCTTTTCCGTATGTGAAATGCACTACATCTAACGCATTATCACAGGGTATGTGAAATGCACTACATCTAACGCATTATCACAGGGTATGTGAAATGCACTACATCTAACGCATTATCACAAGGTATGAACAAATATTTATATTTGAGTAGCAATTGCATAGGACATGCATATCTGTTAAAGTTACTTCTCAGCAAATATTCAAAGAAAAATAATCTCTTGAAATTTAATTTTATTGTAATTTAAAAAAAAAAAATTAATAATAAACCATTCTGCCAACTAACATTCTATGCTAATAAAAGCATATGATACTCTAAGAAATAATTAAAACATAAAAAGTTATAATGGAAATTCAATACTGAAAATAAGAAAACAAACAAATTACCATAATATTAAAATATACAAATAAAGCAAACCCTATCATTATCTCCCCAAATTAAAATTGATGGTATGTCTGATATCTTCTTCATGTCATCTGTTGAAAACTTTGCATCTTTGATAAAACCATTGTACACTAAATTAAAAAATTATTATTATAATAATAATGCCTAATAAAAAGCCTAATAGTTAAAATCATATTTATTTTATTTACTTTATTTTATATATTTTATATATTTTATATAAAAAAATCATGTGCAAGCTAAATCACACAATATTTTGATATTTTTCAAAAAAAAAATTTTTAAACAATTTGTTTTTTTTAGCAAAAAAAGTTGTAAAAAGTCAAAAAATAACACATATGTTTTAAAAATAATAATTAAGTATTTTTAGTAAACTTATTTTTTTTATTAAACAAAAAATTTTAAATTGAAAATGTAATTTAAAAAAAAGAAAAGAATCACATTATCCAAATTAAAATGTCTCATATACAGTTCCTGTTTAAAAGGAACTGTATATGAGAATTGATGTTTAAAGGAATTGCTATAAATTTTTATTTATAAAAAGTAGAATCACGTGGTCTACAATTTACTGGATGCTCTGGTAACATGGTGTGTGCAGAGGTGTGCCTATGCAATTGTGCAAGGAAAAGCCAGTACTACAGTAACATTAATTATGGTATAGTTTTTTCTAATATTTTAAATATAGTATTTATAAATAATCATCATATTTCTAAATTCACTAATCATCAGGGCCATCCCGAGGAGGGGCCGGGGGGTATCTAGTCCCCCTACAAATTTTATTAGTCGACAAATTGGACACTAAAGATGGCAAAATTGGATTTATAGTTGGCAGTCAGCAAAGGTTGGAAAATAAGGACCTTTTTTTTTTGAGATAAGTTAGTGGGCAAAAAATTTTTTTTGGCTTTAGTTAGCGAAAAACAGACATGGTACCCCCCCTTAAAAATCTCTTCGGGATGGCTCTGCTAATCATTATAAAACCAATAAAGTCAAAAATCATTATATTTCTAAAAATTTTTAATATAATTAATGCAACAATTTTAAGTAACCTTGGACATGAGATTCTGCCATTGAACATCGATGAAGTCTTGCAGCATTCATTAAAATTGGTGGTAACATTTTTGGTTTGCCATTATAGACAATAGACAATAATTCCTCAAACTCTTTATTATTCTTGGGTGAACAAAAACTGTTTAACTCTAGAACTACATTTGTTAAAACACCCAATGGAGATAACAATGAGATAGAGGCTACACATAAAAATAAAAAAAAGTTAAAACTTCACAACGCATTTCACTTTACTGTCAGGGTAATAATTTTGGTCATTTATTTAAAAAATAATTCATAATTTCCACTTAAATAACAAGATTTTCTACCTGGTTCCAAATTGATTCTTAGAGTCTAGGTACTAGTCTTAGGTCTAGAGTCTAGAAAATTAAGTCATTAAATACAGATAAAAGATATACCGCATTCTTGAGGATGTTTTATTGCATAATGCACAGCAACAAATCCACCTGTTGAATGACCAACAATATGAAGTTTTCTACTGAAAAGACCAGCTTCTTTGACAAACTATTAGAAAGTAATTTTGAAAAAATAACTGAATAGACATAGATGATTATTTGACTTTATGAAAATACCCAGAAATTTTATTTTATGAAAATCCTGGAAAATTATTTTATTAAAAATTGATTGTATTAACTGAAAACAAAAACTTTCATTAACTTTTAAAATGGAATTTAGATTATTTAACTTTTTACAAAACGGAATTTCTAATATTCAAAAAAAATTAATTTGAATAAATTAAAAAGCAAAAAAAAAAGAAAAATTTGTTACGAAAATTGATCTTGTGAAAATTTTAATTATAGAAAACCTATGTGTTTAAATATAAAAGTTGTCGTTTCTAAAATTTCATGTAAAAATTTGTAATTTTTTTAGAAAAATTAATAAAAAAAAACTTCCGGAAATTTATGGAAAATTAAAGGAGTTTTAAGTGAATTTCCGGAATTCTGGGAATTCCCAGAAAAAACTCATCTATGGAATAGAAAAAAAAAAACAAAAAACAAATTAACTAAATAAAAATCAATAAAAGTTTATGAAAAAGTGTATAAAAAAAAAAAAAAAAGAGCAAAAATTTTAAATTTAAAAATTTTAAAAATGATAATAAATATGCATGCATTAGAATAAAAAAGGTCTCTCCTGTTTTACTTCTCTAATGCATGCAAGGACAATGTTTTCGGAAGATTTTTTGAATAATATAACTATTTATTTTTAACAAAATAAATTCTTTTATTTTCCTTAATTGGCTTACAAATTGGATAAAAATATACTTTATATAGCATTAGAAATGTCAATTGAAATTGACTTTACTCATGCTATATAATGCTATATAAATAAAGTTTTATTATATGAAAATCGCTTTTCCTAATGGAAAACCAATTTTCATTGGTTGATTTTTTAACCCCTTGGATAAAAAATATTTCATATGTTTAAAAGTTCTTCTTTATAGTTTACAACATTTCAAGGTGCAGAAAAAAATGTTAAACTTTTTATTCTTTTAATCAATATGTCTAAAATTTGAGTCTTCTTAAGGATTTTAAATTGAAGTATTCAACCCTTTCCCTTCTACTTATACCTAATTATTACACCTTTTTACAAAGCTTTTTTGGAAAAATTTACACACTTTAAAGCCTAAACTTTGTATTCTGTATAACAAACTGTTTAACATCTTTGAGAGTATTTTTATTTAGAGATTTTTTTCTGAGGCTAAACAGTTGGTGTAGACCATATGTACATAAATAAACATTTCATCTTTAGGATTTTCTTCTGTTTTAATGGTGTAAATTCTAATCAACGTATTTGTCAGTAACATTTTATTTACCAGCTTTATAAATTAAATCAATAACCTATTTAAGTAGTCTAAGTCTCTTTTGAAGAATGTAGAGAAGTGTTTGCTTCCTAATATTTTTTAACGATGATAACTTTCTTGCCATAAATATATCAATGAAAATGTCCACATCAAAAAAATACAAGTGGAAGTTCTTTTTCAATGATTGTATAGTTTAACTGAGCTTTTGTGATTGACACAGCTTGATGCAACTGTAACTGGATTTTTATTTGAAGTAATACTGTTCCAAATCAGTTTTACATGTATCTACTTGTATCGCTACAGGTTTTTTGAAATCATAGAAAGGAAGGCATGTTCAGAACATAATAGTTTTTTTATTTTTCAGAATGTTTTATCATGCTTTTTTTCCCCCATTTCCATTGTGTATTTTCTATATATAAAATTTTCAAATGGTTTTGCTATTTGTAATAAACATTGTCAGAAATTACTAACCTTGTTTACTATAACCAGAAATCTTTGTGCCCCATTTTTATATTCAGATTTTGGGATTTTGTCGATTGCCTAAATTTTTTTGTTTTTTATTTTGTATTTTGTTTATTAATAACTTGTGCCCTAAATATGAAATCATAATTTTTCAATATATCATTAATTTTCCAGAATATACCATTACCTTTCATCATTACATCTTTTGTGTTCCAGAATATCATTAATATCAGTTTCCATAAAACCAAGCTCATCAAAAATCTTGATAATTTTTTTATAAAAACATCTCCTGTGCTAAATGTATTCAAAAAAGTAAAGTGTGTAAACTTTAAACCTTAATGTGACAGGAGGTTTTTTGGAGGATAAATAACTAGATTTTAGTCTTTAATTTAATATCATGTTTAGGTCTAATCATCTTAAACCAATTAAATGATTTCAGAAACATTAGTATCAGTTATATACATAAGTATTTCAAATGCATACATAAGTATTTATACTTTTAACTCTTTTTTTGTTTTCCTTCAATCTGTGTTACTTTTTCAGAGCATATTTTTATTTTTGGTGATGGCACATTAAGCTTCTTTGGCGTTACATAGCACATCAAGCTTCTTTTGTGTTATTGCCTTTGGATTTTATGCCAATTAGTAGTTTGATAACTTGCAAGTATTGGGAAGTAATAATAAGTTTATAACAAGGTAATAACAAGTTTGCTTTTTTTTTCAACCATACAACTAAAAAAACCCTTTTTACAATTTTTATAGTATCATCTTTGTTGTTCTTAGGGCAATATAATTACAACCAGAGCCATGGCTAGGCTCCCCAACGTCCCCCCCCCCCCAAAAAAAAAATGTGTGTGGGGGTGTGAATTTAGGGGCTTGGCTGTTTTTAAGTAATACCTAATAGAGAGATATTTAGGATTTTGGGGCCCTAATGACAGATGGAGGGGGCAACCCAGTAGCCATGGCACTGATTACCAACAGTCTGATGTTTATATAAGTGAAATCATAATGTAGTGTTTGTTGGTCATAGACTCTTACTGATATAACATCATTTTTAGCTTCATTGTAAATTTTTGTTGATGAGATTCAACCCAAACTGTTATTTTTTAACATATTTTTATTATTTGAAAACTTTCACCAATTTTATGTTTATCCAATTCGCATATTTCTTTGTTTTGGCATTTTGCATTTCTTTACTATATCAGTATGTTTTTTATATTTAATTGATTTCATTTCTGCACTTATAACTTCAGCTTTGCATAAGTTGATCGCTTTTGTTAGAATTAAACCCGCTCCTTTTTAAAGTAGATTAGTTTGTCTGATTTGATCATGTCAATTTTTTGCTATAATATAAGACCATCTTAAACATTTTCAAATTCAAATATTGAACCAAATTATTTAAATCAGTCACAAAGAAGTCCAATGCTCAAATTGTTTCATCATGCAGCGTTCTTGTTTCTCAATTTTTGCATCTCTGAGTTAAAGGGTTGGAAGTTTTATAACAACCATTTAAAAAAGAAGAGATTAGTTTTAGTGTATCAACTGTATTGGCCCAAACAGTCTTAGAAAGATAAATTTTGAAATATAAAAAAAATTTAAAATCAACAATATAAGAATACCCTTATAATACCATATGAATAAAGTTTACAACATCTTCAACTGTAACTAGTTGCTTTATTTGAGTAGAATTACCATGATTAAGCCAATCTACCGCTATAACATGATATGATTTTGGAAACATTTTTCCCAATTCCAAATAGGCAACATATGATGCTGTAAATCCATGAAGTAACAATACTGTTACCTTACTACTCTTTTTACACCCTTTTTCAACATAAGCACAGTGTTTACCATCTTCTAGTCTGATTGATTTTTGTTTAAATGGTGAAAAAAATACAAGCAACCTAAAAAAAGATAGTACAACATAACCAAAATAATTAAAAAAAAAAAATAACTATTAGATTTAAGCAAAAAAAAAATTTATCTTAATCATATATGTATTTTTCTATAAAGTTTGAAATTGCAAAAAAATTGAAAATATTGCAAATGCAAACTGCAACAAACTTTTGTTTTTGAGTTTAAATTATATTTCTTAAGAAAAAACCTATGCATGGTAATGCATATATGGTTAAGAAACCATTGGACTGGTAAAAAGTTTTTAAAAACCTTATTAAAAGAGTCAAACAAAATTTGCTATATTTGAATGCTATTCCATATATAATCTTTATGCACAATTTTTTTCGGTTTTCTCAAAATATGTAAAAAGATTAGTGTAATTATGATATAGTTTGAACATGTTTGAGTATGAACAAGTTCCAACATTCAAACTTTACGCCAAAATTTTAACGCTCAGGTTCAAAAGATTTTTTCATTAAAGTTTGAACTTTTAAAATTTAAAAATAAAATTGTTTTTATGGTTATTTTAGTCTTTAAACAAAGCTGAAATAAAAGTTAAAACTAATTTTAATATTGTTGAACTTTTTGAAAATAATGTATCATCTTTTTTGGTCTATTTCTGTCATGTTTGCCCAGCAGCTCTAAAAATAAAAACAAAATATTACTTGTAACATTTAGGAACTTTCAGTTTTTTTTAATGATAAAAAATAAGCAATTGTGAACAAACAGGGCCCAAACAGCCACAAGTTAAAATTTTAACAACTTTAAAATAAAAAACAAAAGTTGTTCATTTTAAAATAAAAAAAACTTTTATTTTAAAATCTAGAAACCTAAGGATTTTTTTGAATTTTCTCAAGAGTTGCAACAATCAAATTGCAAAATTTGAAAAGTTGTATCAAAAAATCCTGGCTGAACAATGTACACCATAAACACAAAATTGACCTTCTAAAATGCATCACTTCAGCTTCTGAGCTAACCCTATCCTTAAAATACCAAGAATTCATACTTTTTTAGTTCTCTGCCTAAAACTTTATTTAAAAAATTGGGCAGATTGACTGCTTTTGATATATTTTATACTGCTGAGTTATATGAGCATGATGACATCATACTGAAATAGCCTGCTGCCGGGGGCTTCAGTACATACATCGACTGACAAATAGCCTGACTCGCAGTGGAGTGCTGCTACATCGACTGAGGGTTTGGTATGGGTCAGCAACCTTTTCATTTATTCTTCTTCGTTTTCCCTCTTCATTTTCTAAAAAACCTCTATTGATTTAGATGAGCAAAAAAAGTGAGCAATTGCACATATAAATATGCCATAGTAGATATATATAAAATTGGTTTTGCAACCTTTGCTTATAGTCAAGTTTAATCAAGTTGGAAAGAGTTTGAAACTTATTGCAAGATGATACCTTAAATAAACTAACTTTTTTAAAACAAAAATTAAAAAGTTTTTGCTACATAAATGTAGCAAAAAAGAAAACAGGTCTGAATAACTGAATAAACAATTTTGTGCTTAAATTATACCTTTTTATTTTGTACTTTTTTAGTAAAAAAAAAAACATTTAAAAAGTAAAATTTTTTTCTGAAATAGTTTGAAGCTTCTCAAATTTAAGCTTTAAAAACAAGTTCAAATTAAAATCTTAGTTGCCAAAATATATTGGCTGACTTTTTTTTCATTTTAAATAAAAAATATCAACACAAAAAAATAATCTTTCTTGTGATTTTTTTTTTGTAAAAAAAAAACTTTAGTAAATAAAAAGTCAGAACTATATCGACTACTAAAGCGTATTTTTTATCAGATATAAAATACAATAAAAATAAACAAATGATATAACAAATTACCTCAATAAAAATTGAAACACAGCTATTGGGAACATCCATAATGATGACAGAAGTAAAACTAATACAGCCAACACAAAATAATACATTTTCTTTTCTATATTTATTTATATATATATATATATATATATATATATATATATATATATATATATATATATATATATATATATATATATACAAATAACAATAACAATACAAATACAAATAACAATAACAATATAAATTTTATAGTCACAAAAATTCTATACTACAAAACAATTATTTTGTAGTATAGGATTCTTGACTATAAATTACCACTTTTAAAAAAGTATAGGTAGTCGATTGTATCACGTGAAGAAGTGGTTATTAAAGCATTAAAAAAGATTGTATCTGGTGAAGAAGTGCTATAAAAAAATTAAGAAAGATTTGATCACGTGAAGAAGAGGTTATAAAAGAAACAAGAGGCTGTTAAGAATTGATAACAAAAATGCTAAGAACTTGTTATGCTCAAAATTGTTTAAAAAACATAAAGGACAGTAATGTAAAGTTCTATCTTGATCACTTTTCTTTTTTTGAACTTTATTATTAGAATTATATATAAATTTTTTGCATAAATCAACTGCCTAACTGTTAATAAGGACGTATAGATGACTTTGATACGGAAATTATGGCGTTTATTTTTTATTATTGCTAAATTTCGACGTTAAAATATTTACATTGTTAATTAAACTCGAATGGAGAAAAATAATTTTAAAGGTTTTATTAAAGGTTTTTTAATGTTCACATTTTTACAACATTTAACATTTTTACAATTAACATTTTTACAACAGATTCTACCGTTTCGATTAGGATGGTAGTGTGGCCATTTTTATAGTTTTGACGGATCCAGGGGAAGGAGGGGTGGAGGGGGAAGGGAGTTGGGGAACGCATCCCCCCACGAGAATCTGAAAGTCCTAAAGTATCTTACAAATAGAGGACATTTATTTTTTTATTTAGGAGACGCAAATGTGATACAAAATACAAAAGAAATTTCAACATTCTCCCCACCAAAAATTCTTGTATTCGTCACTGCTTAAACTATAAAGATTACTTTTTACTATAAAATTACGTTACGCCTAAAGATGGCCATGGGTGGTAACATTACCACCACGTGACAACCCCAATATAACTAATATAAGTACTTTTTGACCATTTTAGACTTGATAAACATTAAATTTAAAGGCGCCCATGAAGCCCGTTTACAGCAACCATTTGCAAATATGAGTTTTATTTATTTTGAGAAGTGAAGTAAAGTCGGGGAAGCCAAAAAAAGTATATTTTTCGCATACTAAACAAGTGTTTAGTTTGAGTGATAAATCTTTTGAATTGGAAAAATTTATTAAAGAACTTCTTTATAAATTATATTGCGACAGTAGCCCAATCTTTACGGCGCCATCAATGTTACAGAAAATTAGAGAATCATGTAATCAGTGACTTGGGTCTTTATTTAATATTAGAATATTATCTAATATTATCTAATTATTTATTACTTAAATACCTATGCCATTGATCATGAATGTAATTTAAATTAGTTAGTGAATCCCTGATTCACTAACTAATTTAAATTACATTCATCTTATATTATTGATATCAAGATAAATAAAACTTGTATGTGTAAACAGGGACCTTTAAGTTTTATATTAATCACATATATTTAATTTTATGGTATATTTTTATACAATGTTCTTACAATGACATTGCTGGCTTAGCATAGGAACAGTATTACTCAAGTAGGTAGCGCTGAGTAGGTGGTGAACTCGTATCTAACAGCAGTTTTAACATTTCGTTTATTATCTATTCAACGACATTTCATAAGGAAAAAAAAACAGTTTTTAAGCCACGACTTTGTAACAAGCAACAACAGCGTTATATCAACTCTTTTTTAAATGTTAAACAAGCCTACAATTTACGACATGAAAAATTTTATTCAAAAAACTATCTGTTGATTCATTTAAACGAGACGTGAATATTCAAGCCGTCTATAGAAGCAAATATTTATATTCAGACGCGAATACTAACGCCGTTTGATCAATACTTTTTTGCCATTCTAAGTATTCGAATGCTCAGAACGTCTAAAAATATTGATCAAATGGTAGCTGGTACCATTAAGAAACACAAACATAAAATTAAAAAATACCTAACATGTCCAAAATTATTTTTAGTTTTTATTTAAGTAAGAAAAAATCTAGACATAACGCATTTAAATTTAGATTCCAATTTTAAAAATCAGTTTAATAAAGTTACAAGCAACAACAACAACAAAAAAAATGATTTTTAATAATTATAAATAATTTTTAATAATTATAAATAATTTTTTAAAAATAATAAAATCAGAAGTTGGAAAAAAATCAGTTTTCTGCAATTAAACTATTAATTTACTTTTTGTTAATTAATTAAACCTGATTCTTCTTGACTAATTTTATAGGCTTTTGTTTGTGCTTCCTTGATAGTGGCTATGCAACTCAACCTGTTATCTTCTAATAAGGGTACAGCTCTAAAACTCAATTTAACGGATCTGAAGACCCGACTGGTAGTTAGGTTTCCCGAATTATGTGGTAGCTCTCAGAGAGGCTGATTGTTTCAACTGCAAAATATCAGAGTATTAACAGTGCCATGTTGCGCATGAATGTATTTAATGCTTTTGGTGCGCATTGTCGAGGCCACATAAGGAGCCCTATATTACGACTTAAACTTAATTAACAAGACTAAGAAAGTTGCATAGCTCATTGCTTAGGACGCCGTGCTCTATCTATAAATAACTCAAGTTCCCCTTAAACTTAAATCATTTCAAAAGTAACCCAAAATGTTATACTTAAACAACCATCCTCATCACCTATCTGTTTTAATATATCTTTTACTAATATTTGTGGTCTTCGAAGCAACTTTCCATCAGTTGAATCTTACCTCTCGCAAAATTGACCAGACTTGCTTGCTCTTAGTGAGACTAATCTAAATTCTGCTATTCCTTCTTCTGATCTCAATGTCGATGGGTACTATCCATTGATTCGCAAAAACTCCATTAGTCACATACTTGACCTGGGAATATACATACGCATCAATTCACCTATTTGTTATGAAATCAGGTTTGAATATTTTTACCATTTTTTTGTGTGTTTACGCTTAGCACAACTTCACTCTATCACTTTTCTCTTTGTTCTTTATTATTCTCCTTCTTTTCAAGACTGCAATATTTTAGATGTAATTTCTGATTATATTGATCATGCTCTTTCTTGGCTCTCACCAAGGAGTAACAAAACAAACGCCACTCACTCTGCTGGTACTAAAGTTTTCTGTATTTCTCAATCTCCTACTCAAATATTTTTGACACGTTTTCCTGACAATCCTAATCATTTACGTTCACTTCTTGATTTATGTCCGGTTTTTGAAACAAGCTTGTTTATAGTTTCTTCATATTCTCCTTTCGGTGGTTCTGACCATGCAATAATCTTGTTAAATCTTTAATCTCGTACTTCCTTTTCGGACTATCATCACATTTCTTACTGCTACCCTATCATCGTATTTCTTACTACTATCTTAAAGCTGACTGGAATTCTCTCAGCTAAAAAATGCACCTCCTACGTAATCTCCTGCATTCAGGCAGAAACAGAAGCTTTTATTCTTTATCAATGGTTCCAAGCCTTATTCTACTCCATGGTTCTTACCCTCTTGTTAGGCTGCTATATCTAATCGTAATAATTTTTTTCATCATCGTTTAAAAAACATCTATCTTAAGAACAAAATGCTATTTATTATTTTTAGAAATTGATGTAAAAAGGTGTTGTCAGATGCTAAACTCCATTATTCTTTGTTTAACAAATCTTGTATCTTATCTCAGATATTAGGCTCAAAAGACTTTTAGGAAATCTTCAACAGCTTTGTTAACAAAGGTAGGTCAAACGTTCCATCTCTCATTCATGGAACTGATCTCATTACCTCTCCAAAGGATAAGATAGAAATATTTGCAAAGAACTTTTCTTCTAATTTGACTCTCAAATCTAATGGCAATCCTCCCATTGCTACTGAACAGGTTAATCAATTGTAAGACTTTTAAATTGCTCCAGCTTCTCTTGCTAAAGTCATAAGTTGATTGAACTCTTCTACGGCTTGTGGTTCAGACAAAATTCCTATCATTGTCTTACAAAATTGTTCTCCACAACTCTCTTCAATTTTCTAAAAACTATTTAATAACTGCTTGCTTGAGTCTTGCTTTCCTACCTGCTGGAAAATGGAACTGTTGTTTCAACTTTCAAAAACTCTGTTGAACCTTCTGACCACTCCAATTATAGTCCAATCAACCTTCTTTCTGTTATTAGCAAGGTCTTCGAGTTTTTGATAAAAAAATTTCTCACATCTCATCTTGAGTCAAATAACTTACTTTCAGTAAATAAATACAGTTTTGTACTCACGCAAGATTTTATCATGCATTCAATGGAGGCGATTAGGCTAGAGCTTGCTCTTGACATATCTCAGGTTTTTGACAAAGTTTAGCATGCTGGTCTACTACATAAGCTTGTTTAATATGGTTAATCTCGGAAAGTTTTTAAGATTATCAAATCGTTTTTTTCTAACCGCTTTATTACAGTCATCCTCAAAGACGAAACTCTTCTTTACTTCCAGTAATTTCTGGGGTACCTCAACGTTCTACCCTTGGTTTTGTTTTGTTTTTTATCTTTATTAATAATCTTCCGGACAACTTTATATCTAAAGTAGTTCTTTCTGCTGACGACTCAACTTTATACTCCTGTCTTGACAAGATGTCTTGTCGAGACAGGAGTATAATGTTGATGCTTCCGGATTTTGTCAAACTTTTAGAACCTTTTGCCAATGAAATTAATATTCTCCAGAAGGATGCACTTTCTTTATTCAGTGTTAAACTTTCGGTACTTAAATTAAAATGCCACCTTGAGTTTGCCACCAAATTGAAGATGCCAAAGATGTAGCAATTAAAATGCTTGCAGATCTACGTAGTCAATTTGCAGTGCTTTTGCAGTTAAATAATCCTAATTTTAACCCACTGCCAAATGCCATATTTATTCTTGACCTCACGTGTTTAATAGCTCTTTTAAAAATTAAGCATAC